TTTCTATATGCAGGAATAAAGCCCAAACTTAACCAGTGAGAAACATTAAGTAAATACCGTCCATCCATTAAATAAGAGTCCATCCGTCCTGTCCTGATTTCACTCACCCTGGTGTGGGTTGCCATGGGTTTCGCAGCCCCGTGAGCCGAAAGGCCCGCTGCGTCCCGGGTTCGAGGCCGTCACGCTCCCTCCTGTCTCCCCCCCTCCAGAGGCGACGGAGAGCACGGAGGCGTCGGAGCGCCTGGTGTACTGCTACCCCGTGCGGCTGGCCATCGCCTCGCCCCCGCAGCCCCGCGTCGAGCTGCACTTCGAGAACGACATCGCCTGCCTGCGGTACAAGGGCGAGATGGTCAAGGTCAACCGCAGCTACTTCAACAAGCTGGTGAGGCACCCTGCTCTCCCCGTCCCTGCCCCTCTTCCTGCATTTCTGCGTTTCCCCTCCCTCTCCGCCTCGTCTCCATCCCTTCCTCCTCTGCGGGAAAGAGACTTTTCCCTTCTCTTCCCCCCCCCTGTCAAAGCCTCTTCCTCTCGGTCGCCTCCTGCCTTCCCGCATCGCCCGAAACCTCCATGTTAAAATCTCTCGACGGACAACGTGGCACGCAGAAGATCCCCGCGCCGCTTCCTGCTTCTTCTTCTTCGGGGCAGCGGGATGTTTGGTGCCGGCTGCTTAGTTGCCTGTCCGTCGCTGAGCCATTGTGGGGATAGAATTCCTTCCCCGGGGCGTGGGAGCGCGGCGAGACTGAGCCGGAACTGTGTCGTTTCAGGAGCTCCTGTACCGGTACAGCTGCATCGATGACCAGCGCTTTGAGAAGTTCCTCTCCCGGGTCTGGTGCCTTATGAAGAGATACCAGGTAACCGCAGGAGCAGTGGGCTGCCCAGGAGCGGCTAGCCCTTAGGGAATGGCGCTCCGTCGCTTCTGACCACCCATGGAGCTTGACTTTGTTAACTCCCTCTGCCCCCTTCTTCTCCCTCTTTCGTCTCTCTCCCCGTCGTCTTCCTCCTCCCCCCGCACAGGTGATGTTCGGCTCCGGCCTGCACGAGGGGACGGGCCTGCAGGGGGCTCTGCCCGTGCCCGTGTTCGAGGCGCTGCACAAGCAGTTCGGCGTGAGTTTCGAGTGCTTCGCCTCGCCGCTCAACTGCTTCTTCAAGCAGTTCAGCTCCGCCTTCCCGGACATCGACGGGTTCTTCGGCTCGCGCGGGTGAGTCTCCGGAAGGGGAGGGCCGGGTGGGGGGGGTGGGGACGCGGTCTTGCAGACGGCTGCACTCGTGAAATGGGTTGACGGTCAGAGAAGAGAGCAGGGGTCCGTACCAGAAGGCCTCGCTTCTACCTGTCTAGCAAATGCAGAGCGGGACCCGTTCGCTGCGGTGAGCGGCCGTTCCTGACCGCACCGCTGCACTGTGTGACTCGTCCCTCTCTCTCGGCCGCCGCCGCCGCCACAGGCCCTTCCTGAGCTTCTCTCCGGTCAGCGGCTCTTTCGAGGCCAACCCGCCGTTCTGCGAGGAGCTGATGGATGCCATGGTGACGCACTTCGAGGTGAGCAGGGCGGGGCCGGGGGCCGGGGGGCCGGGCCGCAGCCCAGGTGGGAGGGCGGGGGAGTGAAGGAGGGGGCGAGAGGTTAGGGGTTAGGCGAGAAGGACCAGGTTACCCAGCCGTGCGATTGAAGCCGATACTCGGGTTTCGTTCGATCAACAGCTAGACGAGATCTCTTGCATCGCTGAACCCCTAATTGCCGCACAGGCTAACGGCCTCCGCTCATTCGTAATATCATTTCTTTTGGTTGTAGATTTTGAAGTAAAAATCCCTTGGCGGTGTTTGGTTTAATTTTAAGTCTGAGCGCGAGACCCTGCCACTGATGCGTGTTCGTTTTGTTTCTCTCCTCGTCACGCATTGCCATTTCGCAGTGTTTTAACCGGATTGTGTGCCGTGCCTCTGTCAGACTTGCGAAAACAGTTATATGTATCTGCGTCTCAGCTGGGAACCGATCGGCACAGCGCGTCTCTGTGTGCTGAAGCATGAGAACGGCGAGAGAACGTGAGAACTGTGCTGTGCGGATTCCCCCCCTGACCCCTGACCCCTGACCCCTTCTGCCTTCGCAGGACCTCCTGGACCGCTCGAGCGAGCCGCTGTCGTTCATCGTGTTCGTGCCAGAGTGGCGCGACCCCCCGACCCCGGCGCTCACCCGCATGGAGGCCAGCCGGTTCAAGCGGCACCAGCTGACGGTGCCCGCCTTCGAGCACGAGTACCGCAGCGGCTCCCAGCACATCTGCAAGAGGTGGGGCCCCTTCCCGTTCCGTTCCCGAGCTCCCTTCTCCGCCTTGCCGGCTCTCGCCTGCCCTTCACACTGGGACCAAGAGGCACCTCTTTACCTAAAGAGTGGTGGGAGTGTGTAACGATATACCCAGCCATGTTGTTGAAGCTGATACCCTTCTTTTTCGAAAAACAGCTGGATGAGATTGTCCCATCAGCTAACTACTGGTTACCCAAACAGTTTGTCACCTTTCTTATGTTCTTAAACCCTTATGCTCTCCTTCTTGTTCTCCATCTTGCTTTCTTCCGTTCCCCCCCCTCTTCCTCCTCGCTGACGTCTGCCGTTCCCCCCTCAGGGAGGAGCTGTACTATAAGGCCGTCCACGGCACCGCGGTCCTGTTCCTGCAGAACGCAGCTGGTTTCGCCAAGTGGGAGCCCACCTCTGAGCGCGTGCAGGAGCTGCTGGCGGCCTACCGCGTCTCGGGGCGCAGCCTGGCCCCCTCCTCCTCCTCCTCCTCCACCGCCACAACCACCACCACCACCACCACCACCACCACCAGCTCCACCACCTCCCCCTCCTCTTCCTCCAGCGGGACCGGAGACAAGGATTCCCACACGGGACAGGGGCAGGGCACGAGCGGCGAGGGACGAGACGGCCTGCACCCCTCCTCAGACACAGGGATGTAATCAGGGGAGAGGAGTCGGGGGGAGTGGGTTTTTCGGTGGGGTTTGGGGACGCATTCAGGCTGGCACTGGGAGGGTGTTTGTAGGGATACCCTTGTCCCTGCTTTCCTTCTCTGCGTGGACTTTTTATTTAATATAAGTAGAACTGGCTATTTTTAACTATTGTTGTCGATACTATTATTATTGTTGTTGTTGTTATTTTTAATATTATTGTTTATAGTTATTTTTGGCCTCTTATCCTAAAATGACATCTTAATCTAGCAGTCAAAGGAAACTAGGTGGGTGGAGGAAGACAGGTGTGCTCTGAGGATGAGGCTGGAGGGCAGTGCCTGTTTGACCCCTGGAGACACTGAAACCTGGCTCTTGTGGCCTCGCAATCATGAGGAGTCGTCTCTGCTTGGCTGCGGTCAGCTGGCCTTAATCCTTATGCCCTGCGTCCCTAGTCTGCACAGACCAGTGATTCCCAGCCATGGTCCTGGAAGAACACTGCCTTCTGGTTTTCACTCCAGTCAGCTACTTCATCACAGGCTCATCTATTTAAGATTTCTGTCCCAAGGTAAATCTGTAAAATTGCTTTCAGATCTTAAAAGGTCTTAACAGATTTGTCACCAGAATCAACCCTTGGACCAGTTTCAGTTTCTGAGCTTCAGGTGTGCTGCCTGACATGGACCTGTGCAGAAGGACAGCAAGCTTGTGGGGTACGCTTGTGGAACACGGTGTGTCTGAGACAATGTCACTAGCAGCTGTGTCTCTTCGTCATCAGCTGATCAGCAAGGAAGAGCTGGTCAGCCAGAAATAGCAACCACAGAAGAGAGCTTGTGTGGAGTTCTGTGTGCTGAGGCTGTGGGAAACAGTACCCTTAAAAGAAGGGTCTCTGACACTCACAGCCGACTAAAGAAACAAGTCTGAACAAGCGAGAACATCAGTTGGCACCGGAGATGCAGAGCTGGAGTGAGAGCCAGCAGACACAGTGTTCTGCAGGAGCAGGGCTGGGAAGGTTTGGTGTAAAAGACCAGGAGAGGGTGTAGAGTTCAGGCAGCCATGTTTGTGTGGCTGATCAGTCCAGTGTCGCCCTTTTCTTCACAAAGGAGCACCACAGGTGCAGACTGGTACGATTTCCTGCCTTGTTCTTTTTAGGGGTGACTTCGGGTACCTCAAGCAGGGAGCTGCAGCAGCATGTGTTGTCTGCAAAGGAACAAGTGAAGGTTTATTCGGGTGAGACACCTGAGGGAGGCTCCACAGCCCAGGCTGTGTCTTTTTATTCCCCCTTTCAGCATCAGGTACCTGGTTAAGCCTGTGCTGGGAGCCACTCGCTCTGTCAGACTGCTTGGTCCTGCACCCTGTGCACGGGTGTCTTATGGTTTTGCTCTTATTGGCTTTTGCTCGTATTGCAGCCACACGACCGAAGCCACAGCATCGCAAAGGCTGGACGTCCTCGGCAGCGCGGTAAACGAGAGCTCGTTTTCCCCCAGATCTTCTCGAAGCCCGTGCTCAGTGATGACGGGGAGGAAAGTATCTTCACCAACAGGTTTATGGCCCTATCTGAAGCTCGGCGCTCTTGTTTTCCATCACCAGGCTTCTACTTCGTTTTTGTCTGAGACCCACAAAGTGGCCCCAGGGGTTAGTGGAGGGTCAGTGTCCAGGAAGATGACAACATGATTGTGTTTTGCCTGGTGGAGGTCTTGCCAGAGGAGCTGGGGAGAGACCTCTGACCGAAGCAGAGGCTGCAGTTCGGACTCCCGAAGTGATGGCTCTCTCGGGCGGGCAGCTGTAGTGGAAGCACGGAGAGCAGTCCTGGTCATCAGCCAGCTCCTGCCTGACCTGCGATTTCATCGCTACTGCGCTCTCGTCTGCACAACTTTCAAGATGTGCCCCCATCTGCACCATGATCTTGTTCATCTGTGCAAGCCAGCAGCATGTCCTCTTCTCAGAGAGCTACAGATCCGCTGCCCACTTCCTGTTGGCTTGCAGTTTACCCCTCATTTATTTAATCATCGTCTTCAATAATTAGAAGAGCTGTTTGTATTTATTCAGCCAAGAACTGAAAACTGAAATTGGTACGATGCGGTCTGAGATTACACGACAGAGCGCAGCATTATGAATGTAAACAAAAAAGCATTAAAAGTTCTGGTAGCCTTCAGAGACTCGATCTGTTGCACAGTCTCATGAGGCAGGAAGTGCTGGAGTGGTCTGTTGTTCGTGAACAGGTTGGCTGCCCTTGAGCTGAACTGAAATTGTCCACCTTCTCAAAAAAGACAAAAGATTTGCAACTGCTTTCCTTTCTTTCTCTGGCGCAATTTTTGTTTTCATTTTCAGAGAGCACGAGCTCTGCCTGATTGAAGTGGAAGACTTGTACTCTGGGATTTCCAGGGCTCGTGCTTCTTGCCTGTGCCTCTCTCACGCTTCTGTCCCATCCGTGTATGTATCTGTATATAAATTGGCTATTGGCGGGTTATTTTTATATTTTGCTGTTGCAAGGACTGCAAGAGAAAAAGAAAATGGGGCGGGGGGCAGGCTAGGTCTTTCAGTTGTAACGTAGTTTTATCAAAGAGGCGCCTGATAGCCCTGGAACTTGAGCGATCTGGTGGATCAGGAGAAAAGCAGCATCAAGCCGATACTCGAACCCCAGTGTGTTTCTGTCACCAGCAAAGACATGTACATAGTGTACAGAGATCCGTGTGAATAATGTGCTTTCTCTCCTCTCTTGTATTGATCTGTATTGAAGCCGTTTTAGGAAGTGAATTGAATGTCGTCTCTTCGTCTATGAAGGTTTTATGTTGATTTTTTTTCCATAGTGGCAGTTTTTTATTTTTTTATTTTGAGATGCAAAATCTTTATACGTTTTAATTTAACACGACTAAACTTTTTAAATGTTTTTAATTTTGCTATTGTGAATTATACAATTTGAAATAGGAAATGTTTTAAACTAAACCAAAGTGTTATTAAAAAAAAAAGAATCTTTATCTTCTATGGAAAAGTAAAAACAATGAATGCTACTGCTCTAGGACACAATCAGCAGAATTTCCCTGATGTTTATTTTTATAAGCCTTTGATTCCTATGTCTTACTTTGTTTTCTGAAAATGAATGTTGTGTTTCCTGTTTGGAAATTAAATTGCATGGTCAGATATTTTTAAACTACAGAGAAACCATAAATGAATATATAGAAATTGACCTTCATAGAGATTAGTTTATAGATTATCGGTGTCTTGACTTAAACATTTTGTGTATTTGTCTTTGTTTATTTTATATATGTATACATTATATATACATACTTGGAAATTTATCCAAGTAGTAAAAAGGAAAAAAAAAACATCTTTAAGCTCTCTGTCTGTAACCCAATAATGTTGTGTTGTAATGTATGCAGTCTGTTTTAAAAATATTTTCCTGACCTGTGTCTGATATTCCTAAATGGGGTGATGAATTAAACTAGCACTCCACCGGGAGACAGCAGGACTGTGTGTCAGACACCCCGTACTCAGTACCTGTAACAGGAGTCCCCAACTCCATCCTCTGGCAGGGGGAACCCACCAGCTTTTCCTTGTCTCCTTAAACTGGGGAAGCTGGGTGGACTGGGGCAACTGAGAAGCACCTCACTCAAGCCAGTGTCTGCAGCAGGGACCTGTACATGTAACCTGTCAAAAGAGGCAAAGCCACTACCCTTCACTGTCCCCAACAAGGCCATGGCCAAGGGAGAAAATAGTCCAGTCCAATCAGATTGTCTCCCAGGTAGAGAGCTGTAACTAGGACCCGGAAAAGCTGCTGGATTCCTGGTGCTGGGAACCACTGCTGCCACCACAACATGATAGAAGGGTTCCCAATTCCCCCCAGTTCTGAAGACCAGAGATTTCGTGAAGGCATTGTAATCAGTAGTGTCCCAGAATGATCACTGCACTCCACCTGTTGTGCACTGAACTTCGTGTGTCTTGTGGACACAACCCAGCAGCCCTGCTGTTATAATTAACGTTGACACAGTAATAGCACTTATCATTTATATTTGGCTTTATCTATTACTCTGATACTGGATCTGATCCACCGATGTCTTGCAATGTACACAGCTGTTATAGTTGCCCAAACAACTTTGGACAAGACTGGAGCAAGGAATGTTGGACTTTCTTTTAAGGATTTTAGACAAGCCCATTTGTAAGGGAGTTGGGGACTAAAGTGAGAACTTGTGCAAGAACACCCGTGTTTATTTTTATGGTTCGTGTTTCCTCGATGCACTTGAACCGAACAAGCCTGGCGCGTAGAATGACCTCCTCTTGTCTGTAAGCCTGCGTTTTAAAAATGTTGTGGCTGGAAATTCCTGGGGATTCAGCACACAGATGGAAAAACTCCTGCAGTTTCCTCCCTGCAAGTGGCGCCAGAGGATGAGACGGGATAGCGAGCGAGCGAGGGAGAGGGTGGACAGATGATGGGATGAAAGAAGCAGTGCCTCGCCCCCAAGACTGATGCGGGGACCAGCAGCATCGCTCTTGGTGCTGCTGCCCTGTTTCTCCCAGAGGGCGGCGCGGGGGGGATGGGGGGGGGGGTTTGCGCAGAGGGCTTCCACAGCCACCAGGAAGCTCACCTGCCCAGGTGTTGCTTTGCCAGGGGGGCCAAGGGGCCAGGGAACTGCAGGGAGTTTGCAATTGCACAGCTCGGAGCTCTACAGCAGTACGCACTCAGTCAGCGACAGACATGTATATATAATATATATGGAGAAATAAAAATGAGTTCTGAAAACGAGCCTCAAACCCCTACTTGATGAGTGCACCTTTACCCTGATCCTTCCTCGCATATGATGGCCCGTGTCCTATGTGGGTTTTTTCCCCTGCATGTGTTTCCTTCAGACTTCAGCTTCTCCGCGTCACCTGTAGGAGGTCCTGGTCACACATACGTCTAGGCCAGATGCACTAACCGGCCTGACTGCAGGCTGTGCAGAACCCTTAGAGCTGTATTGCACTCGCTTGGCGTACAGATTGATTTGTACTGATTTACAATGCAGTTAGTTCAAGACTTTCTTTGACATTTTTTGTGCACAATTTCAACAAAGTTTGTTGTCAGCTTTTGCTTTATAGTTCTATTCGATTATTTTTGTACCCTGTTGTGTTCTTTCCCCTTGTCGAGTATTAAACGTGGAGAAGGGTAAATATCCTTTTATTCAATGGATTGTTTTGGATGTTTTTTTTACAATAACAATCTGTAGAAAGCTACCGTTGTACAGATGATATAACGTGGTTTAAAGTAGTGTAATACCTTTTATGTGCGTGCAGTTTTTTTTGTAAATTTTCTTACAGTGAATTAATATTGGAAAATCCTCTGTTGCAATTCAGAAGTCACGAGTTAAAATAAATTAGATGTTGCTGTATACTATTTCGTATTTGATGTGCAATAAATTAAACTACATTTTTTTCACCTGATTACACCTACAATGCTAACAATAATATCAATTTTAAACTATTTTATTATAGACGTGTAATAAACCTTATGTACAGTATATAAACATATTTAAAAGGTGCAGACAACAACAAAATAAAAAAAAAAACGTCTGTGGTTTAAGCCCTCTGAATGTCATTCAGGAATGACAACTATATCATGCATACATTAAAAGTACATATAGTGTTTCGATTATGTCTGAGATTTTTTTTCCTGATAAAGTGAAACGATCTCGCCTGTTTCTGCAGCGCCATCACGAACTGCTGACGTCATGCCCTCTCGCTGAGAAAACGGCGTGGAGACCAGAGGGTTGTGGGTTCGATTCTCGCGTCGGCTCCCTCCTGAAGCTACCCAAGGGCTGTTGCAGAAATTAAAGAAAATAAAAGTCTCGGTTAAAAAAAAAACGGAGTCATCTGATGCATATGATAAAATCGGAAAAATCAAAACCTCAGCCGGTTACATTACAAATAGAAAGTGCATTTATTCGAAGAGCAAGGGAAATGTTGAAGCAACGATGCCGGAAATTAAAAAAAAACAAGCTGAGAGACGGCTATTTCGCATATAATGAAGATATTTAAAAATTGTTAAATACAGGTGAGAAACGCAACACGACCAAAAACTCCAGGCAGCTCTGCGACATGTGACTGACTGACCCCCCCTCCCTGAATCTTGGCAGCAGTGGCGGGCCGTGATTGGTCAGAACCTACCCACGTTGCATCGTCCCGACATTCTGATTGGCTAGCCCATGTCTGGCTCTTGACAGCGCTGTGAGCTTTGATTGGTTAACGCTGCCAAGACCAGACAGCGCTCTTTGAGCTAGGAGCTTTCGATACGGCACGGTGTGGTGTCGAAATAAAGACCATTTTACAGTAAAAACATAAACCTGAAAGCTCGAACTTAGTGATATAACTATCAAAGAATGATAATTAAAAAATTGTACTTTTTAATTTAAAACATGTTATCAATATAAAGTGATTCAAAGTCGGAAAGTCAATTCAATTCAATTCAAGGTGCTTTATTAGCATGACCGATTGGGTACAATCAGTGTTGCCAAAGCCAGAAAAAATAATCAAATTAACACGAAACAAAACAAAAATAAAAGTAAAATAAAGTCTTATCCTAAAAGAGCTGTAGCTGGAGTCGTCCTGCTCAGAGGATTGTAAGATGCAACTAGAATAGACCTACAAGAACACTATGTGTGTATTTAAAATAACATTTGAAAATCAGACTATATCTGTGATTAATTACATATGTATTCCGAACAACGGTCAGTGTGTTTTTTTTAGTTAAAAAAAAACAAAAGCTTGTGGCAGGCCCCAGCGAGATTTGAACTCGCGACCCCTGGTTTACAAGACCAGTGCTCTAACCCCTGAGCTATGGAGCCACCGCCGGTAAAGCGGAGGTATTGTATCCCTCAAATAGTAGTACACTCAGGTTATATTTCTTGTTATTTACGTCAAACATATGAGTATTTTCCTCTTAAGTGATTTACAAACGTTAGTACGTTTTTTAACATTTGAAACGCACAAAACCAACACTCTGCAACTCCTTACTATTGGCCAATAATGAAAAAGTTCTGTTTTGACACAAGTCTTTCTAAAAAAAATAAGGTGATAGCTATTTTATCCCAACTAGGTTCAGCAGTGATGTTTCTTCAGACCGGTCTGTTTGAAAAGAAGCACCGTACAGAAATCAATCTTTTAACATCCGAGGAAAAGATTGATCCTCGAAAAGCGCGCTGTGCCCCTCAACAACATGGCTGCCGTACGTCGAGTGCAAACAACGTCGCGGAAAGAGATTGGGTAATTGACTATAGTGAGGTCACGGCGTACTCTTAGTGTTTGGAACAGTATTTACCACGATTTTACCTATTCCGCGAGTGTGTCTGAACGACACGGTTTCTAGTAAAGCTGACGCTGTCATCAAGCGCCCCTCTCAATCATGGCCGCCCTAACGGCTCTGGGGTTTGGGGTTTTTTTTTTCACTCGCGCTCCGCGATGACGCAGCCCGTCGGCGGGCGGTGACGTCGGAGCTCGAGGAAGTAGCGATTTTGCGCGAGATGGCAGGAGCATCCTGTCCGTGTCGGTGAAGACGGGAGCAGCGCTCGATTTAACAACATAATCCGCCGACAACTCGTCTTCGGGCGTTGCACCCCCGGGGAGAGGGGGATCCTGAAAGAGCCGGCACCGCCCCTGAGCTTTTTTTTTTTGTAGCGTGGACCCGGCGCTGGCTCATCCGTTTTCCACAATGAGACTCCGTCCTGCGCCGTGAAACGTATTGTTGTCTGTGCGCAACAAGTTCGCCTGCTGATCGCGCCGCTGTTTTATTTTTTTTGTAACTGAAGCCAGGAGGGACATCCCACGTCCCCAGGAGCACCAGGCGTGAAAGGGTCCGACGCCGGGCACGATGGGGGCTCACCGCAGCGAGGGGCGCAGGGACTGGCTGCCGCAGCAGGACGCCCCGGAGCAGGTCGCTGTGGTGAGAGTTTACCCCCCGGCCGCCTAGAAGCACCGCAGCCCGCAGGTCCTGTCACCTGCGTCAAGGCGAGCAGAAGTTCCCCTTCCCTGCCAGTTCTCGGGCTTGGGTGAACATCCGAACCCCTCGGCGTGAGGTTTTCATAATTTCGCTTCAGAGCAGCTTAACCCTATTTAGCCTTTTAAAACAAATAGCTTAAAAGCGCTAAAACTGAAGATACGGACTCGGGGGTGGGTAGAATTGTATGCATTCTTTAATTGTCGTGCGTTGAAGCCCGCGATGCCAGGTCTTAACTGTGCTGGCTGTGGGCTGGTGCAAGAGTTTGAGGGGTTCGTGACAGGGTGCCGGCCATGGAGTTTGTCCGTCCTCCGCCTGGGTGACCCTCCCTCTCGTCTTCCAGAACCCGTGGAACATCATGATAAAGCACCGCCAGGTTCACCGCAGGGGTCGGCGCTCCCAGATGACAGTCAGGTAATACGACTTTGTGTGTGTGTGTAAGAAACAGCTTGTTCAGCTGGTGCTTTGCAGCATGTCTTGTGATGATAGATTTCTGCTCTTGCTGTGAAGATTCCCTCCCACCCCCGACTGGATTCTGTAAGTGGTTAATGTTTTCTTTAAATTCAAAAATTGGTTTGTGTATCGCGGCGTTGAAGGCTGATTCTGCCTTTCGGGGAAGACGGAGCAGAAGGCGTCAAAATGCTTCATGTAAGAGCTCCAGGGTTTCCACCAGCTGGGGTGCAGGGGGTTGTCATGGTGTTTCAGGGCGCAGTCGAGGCTCGGTGTGTTGTGTGGCGGGGCGGTACTGTAAAGACAGGAGCGCGCTGACCGTGTCCCCACCCTTCCCAGCTACACGGACCCTGTGATCTCCATGGACCTGCTGCGCGCGGTGCTGCAGCCCAGCTTCAACGAGGACATCCTGGCCGTCTTCAACAAGTACATGAAGGTGAGCCCGCGGGGGGCAGGCGCGGTGTGGGGGGGCGCCCCTGCACACCCCGCCCCGCAGGAAGAGGTTTATTTCTTGACCCCCTGACACCGCCTTCACTCCCAGCGCGCTGCTGCCACGGAAAGACTGGACCCAGAGCTCCACAGCGGCGGAGAGCTAAGACCAGAGGCCCAGAGCAGGGGGCCATGGGCTGGGAGGGGTGCTTCTCACCATGAACATTTTTCTCCATCGTGGGAAAGGCTTGTTGGCATGATAAAAATACTGCAGCTTCCTATGATAGCAGACAGTGGCTGAAATGCTATGTACTGAGCTGGGAGACTGCAGGCCTCTTTGACAGGCATGTCCTGCGTAGTGTGATACTTGCAGTACAGGTGCATTGCAGTAACACAGGGCTTGAGTAGTGCAGTGAACAGGATGTGACATCACCTTGACCAGCCCCTCTGCCCCTGTGCGCTGCAGTTCTTCCAGAAGGCAGCCAGTAACGTGAAGGAGAACATGGGCGACGAGGTGCAGCCCGAGGTGCTGATCAGGGAGGCGTGCCGGAACTGCCTGGAGCAGGTGAGAGCGCCGGGCCGGGCCGGGCCGTGGACCTGCACCTGCGCAGCCTGAGGGAGGGGGCTTTTCAGTCAGTCTGGGGGTGCAGCAGCAGATACAGAAGTCAAAGGCGGGTGCTGTCGTACAGGGGACACCAGGGGGTAATGTCTTCCACGTCGTCTTGAAAGACTTTAGTTAAGATTTTCAGCAGCATTATAAAAGTATGTTTTCCTGGGAGACTGGAAAACAAGCTGTTTGCACAAGTTGTGATATGGGAACATACAGTGTCGGTTCTATCAGGGAAGCTTGCACAATTAGATCCTAATTCTGGAATTATACAAAAATACGATTCACAGTGTAAAGTATCACCTTATCTCCCGTAACTCTATTGTACTGTCTGCTCCGTTGGTAATGTTTCTCTTCCTGTTTTATTGCACTGTGTCAAAAACCAGATTTCCCCCGGGGATCATAAAGTTTGGGATGAAATGAATACACACTGCACAATAATAACATCTCTTCAGATTTTCATACATCAAAAAACATTATGATGCAAATACTTTTGTTTTTGTTATGCTTACAAAACCACCTGCTGTGGTGTCTTAAAATGGTTCAGTGTAGGATTTGTAGGTTAATTAGTTTATTTCGTCAAATGAGTTTAGTTGTACAGGTCGCTGATAACGTCTTATTGTAGAGTTTTATTTTTTAAAAGACTTCTATAGAAACAGCAAACAAGCTTTATTTTTTAGTGTTTGAATATTGTAATTACTATGAAGAGTTTATTATATTATTATTCAAGAATAACAATAGAGAATCTTTCTTGCTGAGAGTGGATAAATACACCCCATAACCTCACATGATTTTTGCTCTGAAGCTGATAATACTCAGAATGTGAAGAGTATTTGGTTCTGTGGTACAGATGCATTTCATACATTTTAGAAATGGATTTCTGTGTGTTCATTTGAAATATTCTACATGATATAAAATGAGCTAATCGTGGCAACATGAACCTCCATCCCTCAGACTTATTTAGCTGCTGAGCCGTGCCTTTTGTGGTGGAGAAGTGATTGTGGATTAGTGGGGCATGGCGTAATGTTTCTAAAAAATGCAGGACTCGCTGTGACTTGTAGCTGCCAGTGATGAGGATAATGAATAAGGTGGTAATGATGAGATCTGTTCAGGACTGTTAGATCTCTTGTGTGATCCTCCCTTCCTCTGCAGGCTAAACAGCTGTTCTCTGATGGGGAGAAGCCACCCCAAAGACCAGCTGTGGACCTCCCAGCCAGCAAGGTGCGAGCTCGACCTCTGACCTCTGACCTCTGACCTCTGACCTCTGACCTCTGACCTCTCTCCCCTGTCCTGGCCAGCAGAGGCCTTCTATAGCCGTAGGGGTGACTTAACACTTTTAAGTGACAGATATCGCTTACAACATCTTAAATTGCATTGTAGTTTCATCTGCCTTCATTTCACAACTGTATTTTTATTTAGGTGAGAATGGGGAAGTGTCATTAGCACTCTCGATGAATCCAGTTTGTCTGGCAATCAGATTACATAGTTTATATGCAAAAGAATGTAAGCCCTTCTAGAACTAACCTGTAACTGTAATAGATTACTTAGACAAAGGAAGTTTTCCCCAGTTCTGCAGAAGTCATTCCCTGATCTCGTGCCCCTTTGGTGTAGGCTAGTGGTTTCTCTCCTGGTCCTGGTGACCCTCACACCTGCTGGATTTCATTCCAGCCAGGAACAAACAGTTCACATTAATGTTATTATATTAAGTCAATGAAGAGTTTGATTGTGTATCTGAGGACTCGGCTGGAACACAAACCAGCAGGTCTGTGGGGGTCACCAGGACCTCGATTGGGAACCACTGGCGTGGGGACGATTGGGGGCGCACGGCCCCCCCAGCACGGCCAGCGGGCTCAATAATGTCTGCTCCTCTCCTCTCTCCCCTCCAGCGAGGCAGACAGGTGGACGACGAATCCAGCCAGAGGGGCAGTCCTGTTCCCAAGAAGGTAAGGAGGCACCCGGCGATGAGCTTGTGGGAAATCCCGCGGAATGCCGCGAGAGAGCCGCAGTTTCGGATGGAACACTCTCTCCTGTTCATAGAGCTGGGCTTTGTCTTCACAGAGGAAGGGGCGTCCGCCTGGGCCCGTCATTCCTTACGACCGGCCAGTCTCCACTGGAGCCATGTGAGTACCTTCGTGCGCATGCACACCCAGGCGCAGTGCTGCACGTGGGGGACAGACGCACCCGGGTTGAACTGGCCAGCCTGCTCACTCGAGATCAGTGGCTCCCAGCACTGTATCTGCTGGTTTTCGTGCCACCTGAGCTTGAAGTCTCCACTGTTCATTGGTGACTTCATTTAACCTGTTTCATCAGTCAGCCCTGAATGTCAGCAGTACCCCCACTTCAAGGGTTAGCTGGTTACTTCTGACTAAACGGTTAGAGTTTGATGGGTTGATGATGAACAGACTTGGGGGTGAGAGTGAATCTGTGTCAGACACGCCCACAGTGAGCATGCGGCTCTGCAGAAGCCCAGCTGGGTCCGTTTCGGGCAGCACACCTGAAGGAGGGCACTTCTGAGACTCAAATCAAAGTTTATTCAAATCAAATCAAAGTTTATTTATCAAACGCACAACAATACAGCGCGCAGCAGTAGCCGGTACAGCCGAGACCAGTGAAAAACCCCAAATCTGACCTTTCAAAAGCTGAAAGCAAGTTCATAAATATGCCCCCACACAGAAAGCCGAAAAACGTTCAGCCTGTGATTAAGAACTCGTCTGGCGCGAAGACCAGAGGAGACGGCGTTCGTGGAGGTTCCCAGGGGGCAGTGTTCCTCCCGGCCAGGCCTTCCCGGTCCTGCTCTCGTGCTCCCGGTGTCCTCTGGGTTTCTTCCAGCCGAGCTCTCAGGCTAAAGCTGCTGGGCTGCGGCAGTACTCCCACCTGTGTCCACACCTGCTTCATATCGGGGATCGTTAACACACTGCAGCAGAGCCCTGGATCCTGACCCAGTCCTCTGTCCTCTCTTCTGCAGGAGCAAGTCGAAGGTGTCTGAGCCCATCAGGAGAGAGGGTCCGAAGGTACCAGAGAGCTGTCATTGGGCTGGGGGGGGGCTGGTGGTAATGTGCACGGGCGGTTTAATGGGCCGGATGTGCACCACACGGCCTTAATTGGTGGTTTGGAGAGGCTGTGCCCCTTTTTAAACCTGAAAAAACAGATGCGCTTGCCGTACAAAACTTTTAACTGACTTTACCGCCTGTGTGTCAACAGGTTGCTAAATGAAAACGACGTATCTGCCAAGGAAAATATTTTACAGTGAAAATAAAAGCAATAGAAATCAGTCAGAGTGACTTGGAAACAGAGAGCTTCAGTTTGTACTGTATGCATGATTTGCGGTGAAAATCTGTTTCTGATGTTCTTTTCCCGACCGCAGTGGGACCCTGCAAGGCTAAATGAAAACAGCACGTTCGTCCTGGGCTCTCGGGCCAACAAGTAAGTGGAGGCAGCGGGGCCTTGTCAGATTGAAGGCGAGTCTTGCTGCCTTGCTCTGTTTCCTCTTGAAGGGCGCTGTTACCTGCAGCGACCTGATGTCTGCGTCTGTCCCGAGCCGTCGTTCCTCTCTCCGATCCCTCCTGCCTGATCCGTCTGATTCTCCCCTCTCAGTCGTCTCGTTGTCATTGCAGAGCTCTGGGGATGGGCGGCACCAGGGGCCGGATCTACATCAAGCACGCTGACCTCTTCAAGGTGAGAGCGCGCGAGGGAGCTGTGGAAGTGTGGAATGAGAATTACTCTTCTCTGCGATACCAATACTCACGACAGTTTGAAGCGCCACGTGACATCAGATGCCGGCGTTGAGAGTTGGTATCTGTAAATTCTCTGTACGGACTCCCTTGCTAAGATGGCAGTAGTGGCTTAAAGGGACAGAGGTGGGGACTGTTCCAAAGGGCGCTGTAGCAAGCAAAGAACTGATGATTCGAGGCTCAAACAGCGATGTTTCTCATGGTCCTAACATCATAGTACTGAGGGGGGCTTGCATAATGGACAGAGCAGAAGCTTGAGTGTAAAGTGTTTCTCCAGCGAGGGCCGAGCTGGGGGCGCGCGTGCATGCCTGACTCGGCCTGTGTGTCTCTTGCAGTACGCCGCCGACCCCCAGGACAAGCACTGGCTGGCCGACAGACAGCACATGAGAGCCACCGGGGGCAAGATGGTGAGTCCTGCCGGGGGCGTTCTTGTACATCCTTACGTTTCTGAGACGTCAGGGCTCCTCCAGTTCTGTAGCTGTCTTGTGATTTGTCTTTGGTGGTGGGGAAAGCTCCCTTTTGTGCGGGATTGGTTTCCGCTGTAATTTAGTGTCGCTGAACATGCGGAGCACAGTCCTGACGTGGCGTTTCCTCCATGCTTGTTGCAGGCCTATCTCCTCATAGAGCAGGACGTTCAGGACCTGGCCCAGAGTGAGGACTACAGGTAACGCAGACCCCTGCGTGCTGCACTCTTGAGTCGCTAAGAATACCTTCTGGCTGCTTTTGTTACAAACCTGCGTATTGTGTAAATACGGCGTCCCCGGCATGTGGTCACCTGTGCTGTCCTGTCCCCTGCTGCAGAGACTGCCCGGACCTGAAGCTGGACGAGCTGAAGCCCTTCACGGTGCCCATCTGGATGATCGAGAAGATGCAGAAGGCGATGGAGGCCCAGCGGTCAGAGAGGGAGTGAGGGATGATGGGAGGAGGGGCTGGCTGTGACGCAGGAGGTGCCGGAGAAGCTCCTACCCAACAGCCCGGGACTTCAGCGGCGCGCGCTTTCTCATGGCAACAACGCTGGCAGTAAACACCCAGACACCAGACTTCCTTTTTAACCCGTTCACACATTTCTGTTTACTGGCTGATCAAAACCACAGTATGACGAGGTTGTAGGTCCTTTATCTGTTGAATGCATCTACATACAAACTTTTTTAAAAAGGCAGACAGGCGGCAATTGCTTAATAAAGTACGGTTCTGTGCTTTTTTTTTTTTATTTGTAAACTTTGTGGAAAAGACTGTTAGAACTACTGTAGAAAGCCAGGCCCAACACACTGAGCCACCACATCAGAGCAGGGGGACGCAGTAAAGAGCTACAGGAGTTAAGATGTTAGGAGACTGGAAAAAAAGTGAGAGAGTTACCAACATTTTCAAAAACATCTCCCCGTTAGAAAAATCTGTTTTCTTTCTGCTTACTCTGTATTCTTTCCATTAAAAGGTTTCCGTTTTCCTGACAGGCTGCTATGCTTTGTGAATTGTTCCAGTGATGTAGAGTCTAGGCTCAGCTTTTGCTCCTCAAATCTTCTTCTAGTTTTTGGCTTTAGCAGCTATGCAGAGGACGCTGTTGGGGACAGACAATAAGATATTGTACCGGGATGAACAAGTCAGGGAGGCTCTGACTGAATTGACCAGACTTCTCGTTTCTGATTCAGCTACATAACTAATAGTCCATTGACTTGCTTTGCAAACTGCGCTGCTTTTTTAAGTTTTAATAGTTTTTTTTTGTTGTTGTTGTTGCTTCAGACACCTTTGAAGGTGAACATGAAATGCAAATATTTGTAGCCCTCAAGATGTGTTCGTCTCGTGCTCGAGGTGATTTTTTTAGGATGACAAAGACTTGGAAAGGCCTGCACCTGAGAGTCTATTGTGCAGGTCATCCGAGAAGCAGATTATCAATGAGTATTTGGTACCGAACGTTAGGAGGGAGTTTAAGACGTTTACAAGGAATGCCTTGATCAATTCGAGAGAGACGTCATCGGAGTTTTTTATTTCCACCTGAGATTTTTTTCCAGTTTATGCAATTTTTTAGTTTTTTAATATAAATTTAAAATGATCGTTTGCAACAATACCTTGTTAGAAGACGGGAGAGTGCGAAAATCAATTTTAGAAACGTCGAAAATGTTGTTTTTGTCAATGGAATGCCTAGTGAAACGAGTTGTTCCTGTATATATGAATACCGGTGCTATATAATAAAGTTTGGTTTATTTACAATATCGTTTGTGTGTTTTTTGTCAGAAATACTCATACGAATGAATGAAAAAGTAGTTCAAGTAGGGAGATGCGTAGGCTGCAAAGGTTTATTCCCTGCTGAGAAGAAAAACACAACGTTTCGGCTGTGGAGCCGCCTTCGGGTGTTTCTTTCCTTCTATTTTCAGCATGGAATAAACCTTTTACTTGTTCCAGTAACAACATGAACGTTACCAGTTAATGTATTGTACTGCATCAGTTTCCCCGGAAGCTGCTCCCCCCTATTTCCGCTCACTTTAAATCGCCCCGTCCAATCAGATTGAAATCCTAGCCGGGGTGCGTCACTCCTAGATACGGTTGCCAAGACCTTTGTTATTCCTTTTGTTTTCCAACCCTGCGGCCTGATTGGCCCGCACAGAGGGGGCCCGTGTGGTGATTGGCTGGTTAGACAAAGATTTGAAAAAATTTGAACGGAGGGGCGGGATATAGTATGCCGCCCAGAACCTGAATGATAAAATAACCAAACGGAGCTGGAGAGCTGAGGGGACAGAGCGAATTTATCCGGTAATATTTTTATTTTATTAGTAAAGAGATTCATAAGGAGGGGGGTTATTTTATAGACTAAAACTGGGGAAGGCTGGGGAGGAAAGGGAAACCTGCGAAGCGGATTGTTTGTCAGTGAATTTCGTTGTTTTTTCCAATATTGGTAGGCTTCTTCCTCCCTGTGGAGTGAGTGATGTCATTGGCTTTAAGGAACTTTTATTTAAAATAAGTTTAAGTCACGTTTGAAATCTGTCTGGTTAGTTGCAGGAGTGGGTTAAGGATCTTTACCGTCTTTTCGTAAGTATTAGGCGTTTTGGGCCTCGGCAGCCCGGAGAGTTTGGCAGGAGAGACTGTCCGGCCTAGAAATGTGCAATATTTCGCCTCCGGGGTGCAGAAGAGCCCCTTCCTCCGGGGTCAGGGGACAGACGGGCATGGCTGTACGGAAACTTCCTGGAAGTGCGCTTTTAATAGCGAGAACAGAGAACAGAGGGCACGTCTTTACACGCAGGGTGGTGGGGGTGTGCTACAAACTGCGTGCTGACCCCCCTGGCCTCTCTCAACACACGGCCGGCTGAGAGATCCTGTGGGATCGATGTGTCAATAAATCCGCAAGACAAATACGTGAATCGTATGAGCCGCCAGTCCTCAACCCTCTGCTTCACACCTTGATCTTGCCTGTAACTTACAGTGTAAGAGCCGCTGACGGTGCAGCGCTTGCTCGCTCGGCGGGCGAAGTGAAATCAATCTTCTTTTCCCCCAGATGTATACGTTTGCACGGCGACGTGGTTTTTATTTAAGAAAAGAAAAGCGCGTTTTGTGAGCCTCCCCGCTTCCCAGATCTACCTTTCCGCCCGCTGGAGGGGAGCGAACACGCAGTGCGCCTGGTCTGACCTCGTTTCTTTACAATTATTAATATTATTAAATTGTCTGGAGTGGCTCTCGGCTTCACTTGGGCGTCTTGCGTTTCTTCTTCTTCTTCTTCCGGGAAGAAGAGCGTGCAGCTCGGTTTTTAACGTTTTAACATTTCTCGTTGTTGTTGTTTTTTTTTTTTTTTTATCTCCGCATCCCAGAAAACACCGGCAACCCAGCCCCCCGAATCCAGACATGGCTTCTCAGAACATGGACCCCGCCGCGGCCCCGTCCGCCGCCGCTCTGAAGGGCAGCGAGACCGGCGGCAGCGCGACCAAGGGCTCGGTGTCCAAGAGGTAAGAGAGCCGGTGGGCCGGCGGACAGACCAGCAGCAGCAGCTGACCGGGATCTCTGATGCATCCTGCCCGCAGGGGGGCCTACTAGTCTGTCGTCTGCTTACTGAGGGAGATAGCAGGGTTGTCTTAAGGAGCGCGTTTAGCTCTGGCTGTATTTTCTTCCAGGGCTTTAAATCAAACGTAGCCCGGGGTCTGTGTGTGCGCCTCCGGGCGTCCAGGCCTGCTCCGCACCGGGAAGAGTACTGAAGGAGATGTAGCAACCGCAGCAGAGCGCAGAGCTGCGCTGTTTCACCGGGCGGTGCAGAGCCTCTCCGTGTGCTGCCTGCTGGCCGGAGCTCCCGTTCTGTAGCGTCGCAGCCCCTCTTACAAACAAAACCGTGTGCGGCCGATCGACTGACATGTTTTCCCCTGCCCTCCTGTTTTCCAGATTGCAGCAGGAGCTGATGACGTTAATGGTAAGAGAGTTGCGACTCTTTACCCCGCTCTGGGTCGGGGTTTGGTTAGTAAATGTTCATGGGATAATGGAATTCTGGTGAGCGAAGATGCTCGCTAGTTGGCTGAATGCATTTTCCCTCTCTCCGCAGATGTCTGGGGATAAGGGCATCTCCGCTTTCCCGGAAAGCGATAACCTCTTTAGGTGGATCGGGACTATAGATGGAGCTAAAGGAACGGTAAGTGATCCCAATTGTTGCGTATGTGGTGGGGCTGATTTTGCTGGTCTGGTAATCTTAAGCAACACCGATGTCATCCCGCTGGCTTTCACTGTGAGAAGAGGACGTGACTCCTTTCTAGTCCTGCGAAGGTTAATGTGCCTGTGAGTTAGACTGCCTGGGCAGATAACAGGAAGTCCTCTGCTCATGCATTTATCTATGTTAAACTCACCTGAAAGGTGGAAGGACGCCCACACTGAATAAAACTCCTAAGAGCTTTCGTGCACGCCCCAAACCCAACTACTCAACTGCACCACTTTGTGGAGGAGCAGTGCGAGAGCCCCCGGTGACCCCCAACAGCTGCCACCTGTTTCCAGCAGTGCAGCTGTCCAGAACAGGCGGGCCAGGCAGCACAGCAACTGTTCGGGGGGCTGTGAACGATTGTCAGAGTTGTATGAACCCAGGTTAGCTTGGTAGTGTTATTCCAGACTTTTCTGGGGGAGATAAGTCGGATGCCCCTCGGGTGTGGGTTTTACCCCATAACAATGAACCCCTCCCCTCGCGCCCTGCTGCCTCAGGCTCTAACCAGCTGCCCCTGCAGGTGTACGAGGGCCTGCGGTACAAGCTCTCGCTGGAGTTCCCCAGCGGATACCCCTACCAGGCGCCCCGCGTGAAGTTCGTCACTCCCTGCTTCCACCCCAACGTGGACGAGCAGGGCTTCATCTGCCTGGACATCCTGAAGGAGAAGTGGTCGGCCCTGTACGACGTGCGCTCCATCCTGCTGTCCGTGCAGAGCCTGCTGGGAGGTGAGGGGGGTGCGACGCTCTACACTTCCATTGGCGGTGCTGCGTTCTTCTTCACTGCTGTTGGGGGGGTGCCCCTGTAGCCTCAGGGAGCAGGAAGCGGCGTCTTGCCGGGATAAGGACGCTAGCGTGTTTCTGGATGAGTGCGGAGCGGAGTGAGTTAGGCTGCCTGGACAGCCTTGTGACTTCACCGCAGTCTAGGATCCCCTGCACACTGTACTAATTCTCCTTACTCTGGTAATTCTAGACTCTGCCAGTACAAAGTAGAATCTGTGACCTAGTCAAGAGTAATGCTTCAGTGTTTAGCTTTCCTTCAATAAACCATATTTGCAAAACTCAATCACAGTGTTTGCCAGAGGTTATAGCACGCTTAAGAGTTAATGCCAAGGAGTCTTGTTTTAAGAGAAGAGCTGTAGGCAGAAGAATTCTTAAAGGACAAAGTTTTTGTTATTCTCAGGTTTCAGGGTTTTTATTTTGTTAATCTTCCCTGACGGACAGCTTCCAACAGCAATGACATTCTTTTCGCAGAACCCAACAACGACAGCCCCATGAACACGATGGCGGCTGAGTTATGGGCGAACCAAGAAGGTAGGTGCCTTTCACACTCCGCCCAGCCTGCTTGTGTGAAACATCGTCTCCTTTATTCAGCTGCGTCTCCCCTCTGTCCGCGTTCTTTTCTGGCTAACCTACACGTCGGGAAGGGACTGAGCCAGAATTAAACCACTCTGCCCTTGTAACTTTCATCTCATCCTGTGATGGTTATGAACATAGTGGCTAAAAACGAGACACGGCTATTCTGTCGAGTGGAAGTGGCATTGAAGCCAACGAAAGAACATTAAAACCTAATTGTCCGTGGATTCAAACTAGCGGTGACTCTGGCCATCAGCCATGTGTAATATCTAGACTTCAGAGTGGGATTAACCTTCATTGCTCCTCATCATTTCACGTACGCCTTTAACACCCCACTCAAACCTTGTTAAGCTTGTGCTGTTGCTGGATGATGAAAATGCCCTTCTATTCTCAAACTGGCATCGCTCTGCCTGCTGCTCGCTGGCAGTCACAAGATCACTCTGCCGTCCTGTTTCTCCTTGTGGTTCACTGCCTAATGGCTTTTCTCTTCTCTTGCAGCCTATAGAGCCCATTTGCACTCGACGTATAAGAACTGACCCCTGGGGCTCGGCCTGTCCTGTCTCTTGTATGTCTGATATTTGAATGTACCTTCCTGTCTGTTGCCTTCTCATTATGTAAATTCATTTTAATTTTTTTGTATTAACTTATGTGAATAAAGAGATGTCTTGTAAAATCCATCAATCTGTGCTTTGTGTTGGCTTTTGCCTTGGCTTCCTTTTCGTAGGAGGAAGGCCCTTGTGCAGCAGGCAGAGCCAAGGCTGAGTGCAGAAGCTCCTGCCTTCTTGTCTGCAACAGCAGCCTGTTCCTTGCCTGGCCAGAACTATGGCTCTGTTGGAGAATGTGTGAATAAAATACCTAGTCAGACATATTGACTAACCAGTCAGGTTCACCCAAGAACTTTGTAATGAGTTACCCCTTGTGAACATTTCTTGCTGAAACTCAGGTGTGTAATGAAGGTGCAGATTTGGTCTGTTTCGCATCGGTATCTTGCAAGTTAAGCGTCTCCACTAAGGAAAACGCCACATGCTTTTGAGCCTTTAGAGGATGGATGTGATTTCCCCCACCCCCCACAGTTTTGGAAAAAACTAGAAGTTTCTGCTTAACAAACTGGAATAAGAGCAGTCGGATGTGTTCTCTGCCATTGCTAAATGAGGTACGAGAGAGCAGGCGCGTGCTTGCGCGCCCCGCTGGGCCTCCCTGTGACGCACGCTGACGCTGGTGGGGAACAGCTGGGCTCGTGCTCAGTTCACCAGGCACAGGATCCAGCCCAGCCGGCAGCCCGGGTAGCGGCAGCAGCCCGCCTGGCGCTCCGCCCCCTGGGACAGCTCCTCCACGGTCAGCAGCTCCTCCGACGTCACCCTGTCGTCGGGGTCCAGCTCCGCCAGGCTGCCCTCCGCCCAGGCCTCCTGCGTGGCCTCCACTGACCAGATGGGCACGCTGACCCTCTGCAGCAGGTCCTGGGCCATGCGCTCCAGCTGGGCAATGTGTGCACCCAGGTCCGGGGGGGGCTCTGCCTCCTTCTCTCCCTGCCCCCAGGGCGCCTGCACCAGGGCGGCCCGGGCTGCCACCTCGGCGGTCCGGCCCGCGGCGCCCGTGTGGAGCAGGGCCCGGCGGTCGCGCGGCTGGCTCAGCGGGAAGAGGGCCTGCAGGGCGGCGGTCTTGTGCAGGTCCTGCAGGAAGAGGTCCAGCCCCGACAGGAAGAGCACCCACAGCCGCTCGGCCTCCTCGCGCTCCTCCGGCCCCAGCTCGGCCCCCGTCAGCAGGGCGGTGAGCCGGCCCTGCAGCCCTGCAACGAGCCGGGACAGTCGCGTGGTCCGCGGGCCAACACCCCTCTACACCACCCTTATAGACCCACATTCGGGGCTAGATCCTCCTACTGGCTTTAAACGCTTTAAATAATCAGCTCCAGCATGCGTCTCCGAAGCCCTCCGTGTCTACACTCCTGCCCGCAGGATCGGCTCAGGAGCACATCCCTGGCTGAGGGTGACCATTGTCAAGAAGTGCCCTTCCATCGACTCGGAGAGAGACAAATCCTCAGACTCCCCATCCTCAGAACTCGCCTTTTGACTAGGGCCTGTATCCGCCATACTTAACTTTCTATCCTGTTTCTTTTTTTTTGCACAAAAGAGCAAAAGAAAATAAAAATATTGTACTTTTTTATCACTATGTACAGCATCCTTCCGTTTGGAAACGTGCTTTGTAAATAAAAGATGTTATTATTATACCCTAACAATGGAAATCTCTCTTACGTCAGCTAGTTCTCTAATAGCATCGCTTATCTTTAGCATGGTCAGCGTGGCAATTTGCATGCTGGGACTGTTCATGTGGAATGAACCGGACAGGGCTGCTAACCGAGTCCTGCCCTGGAGCAGAACTCCGAGCTGCCCGTCCAGGAAAGGTGTGCCCGGCGCGGCGCTGCTCGGTGCTTCGCCCTGCTCTACCTGTGCAGATGTGGTGAGCCTTGAGCCGGGTGTCCTCCAGCTCCTCCCTCAGGCGGCTGCAGTCCGTGCTGCCCCCCACGCACATGGCCAGCTGCTGGAAACAGGCGGTGACCCTGGTCAGGGAGGCCTGCGCCTTCTTGCACTCCGCCACCGAGCCCTGCGCCGCTGGCAGCTCGCCCACTGACCGCCTCCACGGGCTCATCGCCGGCCTTCGGCTGCCCCCACGCTCTCCGAGCCTGGAGGTCCCTGTCAGCCAGGAGCAGAGGCGGTCAGACACTTGGACAAGGTCCGTGTCTCCTGGTGTGCGTTAGCAGAGGAATGCCCACTGATTACAAGGCCACCTTCATCTCCTCTAGATGTGTAGAAATCTGTTCCAGAAGGCCAGGTTTGTTAGTAAGCAAAATCTTTCAGATCACCTGGTAGGAAAGATTTCCTTGAGTAATTGTCTTAACTGCACTATAAATTGTTTTGTTCCGGCTGCACGAGTCACAAGCTTTTGCAAAGGCTAAAAATAATAAGAATGCATGCATACAGTATAACAAGCCCTGTGTGCAGAACTCACATTTTGCTGAATGAGGTAAAGATCAGTTGTTTCCAGCTGCAGTGGGAGTGGACGTACTGTAGCAGTTAAAAAGCTCAGCCTCAAGAGGAGCTTTACAGCTCAGACAGGAATCCACCCTTTCAGACCCACAGGTCTCCCCCTTCGCTTCCTCCCCTGCCAGAATCGCTGCAGGGGGTCCGGGCACGAGGAGACCGACGGCATGCACCCTCTGTTTCTGTTGCCCGATTTTCACGAAAGTCCCAGCAGCGTCCCAGCAACTCACCTGCTGATCCCGGGGCTCTGGTGATGTGGGAAGCAGTGCTGGGCTCAGAGGCTCCTGTGGTGTCTCATGGTGTAGCTGTTGCTTCCGCGCTGGAGCTGCCCTTCTGCTCCCCCAAGCAAACTCCCCTCGCTCCTGTTTGCCCCTGCGGCCTCCCCTCTCCTCCTCCTGCGCCGAGTGCTGCCACAGGCCCAACGCCCCTCGATTCCTGCCTGGAACACCCCTCCCACCCCACCCCCACTGCAGCTGACGCACTGATTACATTAGGAGCGGTGCTGCGCTTCTCCGGAGACGCACAACATCTCAATTATCCCTGCCTGGCAGCTGATGCTCAGGGATGCCCAGACCCGTGGTGAGAGACAGCGTGGCCATGCCTGGCGTGCGTGTGTGTGTGTGTGTGTGTGTGTGTGTGTGTGTGTGTGTGTGTGTGTGTGTGTGTGTTTTCTCATGGTACAGCTGCTTTAAACTGATGTTTCCTTGAGGACAACGCACTGTAAACAAGGCTGACACTTCAGGAGTTGCTTTGCGAGTTCAGACTAAACACTCAGCTCTGCATCAGCGAGGTGCCCGTGGGGCGTCACTGTGCGGAATGGAAGCCACACCGAGGCGTCTGCCTCCTCAATCAGAAGTGTTCGCGTCTCGCCGATCGTGCGGACGTGACGAATGTGGGTCCTGCCCCTGATCTAAGCGAGTCCTTCGGATATACAGCAGATGTAAGGGATTTATTTCACATTTGGTTGAAGAGGCATGACGGACAGGGGACAGGGGACAGGGGACAGGGGACAGGGGAGGGGGGAGGGGGTGGAAAAATACCAGCCCTGGTTTTTGCCTCCTTCTGCAAAGCCAGCCCCTTGCCTGCCCCAGGTGCTGGTTAGTTAATCACCCGCTGTGTGCTGTGTGCGGAGCGAGGGGGGCGGTGGGGAGTGGAGATGTGGGGGGGGTTTCGGACCCCCCTGGGTAGCTGTGCTTACTACCACAGGGCCCCCCCAGGGAGTGGGGAGAGGCCCCTGATGTCACCACCTTCTCTTCCTCACCGCGTCTCCCGAGCAACTGCTGCTAAAATTAGCCCCCCCCCCGTCGTCGTGTGCAAAACAATTACCTGCCGCTGCCGAACTTGTGACCTGAGTGGGTGCTCTCTCTCCCTGCCTCCCCATTCACAGCCCCATCCTCTCCGCCACCTGCTGCCATTCACAAAAACAAGACGCCATCTGTCTGTCCGCTTCACGCTAACAGAGTGACGCTCGGCTGCAGCCGAAATAAAACAACAGCCCTGGTGATCTCCTCTGACACAGGAGGCTCCATACTACAGATGCTGAAACACCTCCATTGTAGGAAGCCTGCTTACATGCAGGTGGAGAGCGAAGTCTTGGCACTTTGCAGCCACAGCAGTGTGGTCCACTAATGTGTTAGGCGTGGCTAGTCCATGCTCAGTTATATGCATTAGAGTACAGCCCAAGATGTTGTATTAAAAAATGTTGTAGTAATTTATTCAAGGGCTGCCTCTGTGTTTCTTCATCTTCAAGTACATTACCACGTTGGGCATGGGTGTCATCCAGCAGGGATCACTGCTCCTCCACACAGCCCACGACTCGCAATAACCCACAACATGCTGAGAAGGGTCCAAAACGTTCCGCGCCTGCCAGTTCACTGAAAACACATCGGCCTTCGAGACAGCCAGTCTGGAAAACCCCTGCCCAGCGAGGCTTCGACGCAGACTGCACTGGGCCCAAGACAGGGAATCAGTGGGCTGAACAGACACGCACCCCGTCACATGCCCTCCCCAGCTGCCCCCAAGCCTGCCCACTCCACGAACACCGCACACCCTCCACACGGCTGGACCAGAAGCTAGGGCGCTCCTCTGCTAGCTTTCCAAATGCCCCCCCCCCAGCTTGTTGTTTGGCCCGGCTTGCCAGCCTCCCAGTTAGCCTGTTCCACACACCCACCACCCTTGGGGTACAGAAGTGTCTCCTGTCCTTGGTCTTAAATGCATTTCTGTGGAGGATTCCCTTGTGCCCTGTAGTCCGTGCGTCAGCCCCCTGCCCTGACGGAGTAACTCCCTTTATGGAGTTTGAAGTCATTTTAACTCACGGGTTGTATCTGGACTGGTTCTGGAGCAGCGATGTCTTTCTGTAATGTGGTGACCAAAACCCAGCATGACGTTCTGGATGAGGTCTTGCTAGAGCGATTCACAATGTCAAGATGACATCCCTTGTTTTAAATTCCACACATCACAACTATCACTGTATATCTCAGCGGTATGTTCTAGTATTTTGCAGTGCTTTGCGTTGATTAGAAATTAACTGGAGCCAAGGACGACCAGCCCTGTTTGTTGATAACCTGTATACAAGGTAAGATGGAAGTTTAAAGTCGATATAATTTTTCGAACTTGGCATTCTGAAGACTACTACATCTCCTAGAAAAGCCTACAACCCACAGGAAGAGGACAGCATCTTTTTACCCGAGCGCTTAGCTTTCTTTATATGTGCGAGTCTGTCCGCTTGTGCAGATGTCCGGGAGTTATTTGTGCTGTAGACCCCGCCCGCTGATCTGGAATTTCTCCAGGAGTTGCAGTAACGTGAAGTTCCACCAGGCGGCGATGGACTATCTGACTGTCAACGAGGCCACACAGCCCAGCCTGAGCGTTTGTGCGCCAGCTTGCAACGTGCAACTTTGTCTGAATTGCAACGTCTGCTGATCAGGCTTAAGTTATAATAAGTTCGCCAGATAATACTAAAACTGCAGAAAGCAGGTTGTTCAAAAAAGAAACTATGCCAGCAGCTGTAGATTCAATGCGGATTTTTAGTTTCTCAAAATACTTTCGGTCTGCTTAAAAAAAAACCAGACAAATACTTTTTTGTGCGGCTCCCTTCATCGGTCCGAGCAATCCAAGCGTGAGTGAATACGTCTTACCTGAGATGTCTGGTGGTAAGGCGAGACGTTTTTACTTTTTCTGCCTCGACTAATGAAATGCTTTCAATCCAAATCCTAGTTAGAGTCTATGACTAGGACTACTCATAGTATGAGTCTCCTCTCCTCTTCCTCGCCTTTTCATTCCGTGTTTGCTACGGTTAATAAATAGCTAATCCCGTGGCCCTGTTACAACGGCCTGAACTTTGCTATTAATATCTTAAACGCTCTTCACTTAATAGAGCTTTAATTAAGGGACAGTGGGCTTATTTGTGTTTTATTTTGCTCGAGAAGCTGTGCGTGTTCATCTGCTCGTCTATTTACAAACATGTTCGGTGTGAAACGGTTTGTGCTATAGGCCTAAAGATATCTTTAATGTATTATATAATACATGGCATAAAACAACAATTATTTTTAGTGTTATTACTCCATCTTTCCGTTTATTTTTTTTCCTTGTGTCTTCATACTACAACAATGAAGAGGCGTGTCTTTAAACTTGAAGCGCACGTTGCTCCGGAGCAGAACGCTTGAGTGACACCCAGGCTCTGCTCGGCCAGGCCTGACACCAGGGCCGCTGTTTGCGCCGCGTTCCCAGCTCCCCCGCGAGCCCCCCTCCAGCTGACAGCTCTTCCTTCCCATGATCCCACGAGGGGGCGTTTGGATTAAGAGGAGAAATGGGGGCAGCCTTCTGGAAAGCCCACAGCGCAAGCAGCAGCGCCAGGAGAAGCGGTGTTTTTTATGATGGCAGCCGGCACCGGTCTCGCTTCAGGGCTTTGACATCCTGGCTCTCTGCGGCCGGACCACCGACAGAGCCGTCTGGATCGCTCTTCTGCCTGCGAGCGCAGGGTCTCCATCAGTCCCCCCGGCACAACCGCAGTCCTCACGATGACCTCGACCTCAGCTGTTACCCCACTCCCTTCAGCTGTTACCCCACTCACCCCCGAACTGTTCTAAAAGGGCTGTGAGAGCAGTGCAGGACAGTGCACAAAAGAAACCCACTGTGAGCCCAGGCACTGTGTTCGGGGTCTTTATTGGGATGGGCTTGGTGGTGTCAGTCCTTTCGCGTTCAGCGACGACAAAGTGTTTAAACACGGAGTTACAGCTCTGGAGCATGGTACAGACAGGCCAGTAAATGTGGCGAATTTAAACATTTTAAAAAAATATAGGAACACTATATGCTTTATGTGTGCAGACATAGTGTGTGCGCTAGGTTGTTAGAAAGCAAACCACTCTGTATTGCTCACAGAATTGCACCAAGCTCTGCAAGCTGATGTGCTGTTTCCTGTCTGCAGGATGCAGGATGATCAGACACTATCTTCCAGTTGTATAGCTGATTGATCATGATCATGATAACACTTATCATCATGTCTATACAATGTCTGAACACAGAACACATGGCCCCTGTGGAGCTAGAGGTACTGATGCATTGAGAAGGAAAGAGAAGGTAACTTGACTTTTAATGCGGTCTTGAACCTGTAATGCTGATGGTCAGCCCTCTTTCTGGAGCAGAGACTCTGTGTAACAAAATCGGGCTGGTCTCAATACAGTCTGAAAGCGCTATTACGCCCATCCGGAGGTCAGAGGTCATTCCAAGAGTGTCACAGCCACTCACACGGGGAGACGGCATGACCCGGACAGCCTTGGCACGGCTCGTTTTAGCTCCACGAACGGCCCAACGGGAGGCTGAACGAAGAGGGCGAACAAGCAGAGTCTTGCAACTGCTTCCTGGTGCTGGCACAGGGGGCAGGCACCACGCCGGGCGGGATACGGGGCGACACAGGGTGCCAGGGTCGCGACCTGTGGCCGCCGTGCCCCCGCCCCCCCCCCTCCCCGGGCGGGGGGGGCGGTCACGTGGCGATGGACTCCATGATCTCGTGGCACAAGCACTGGCAGAAGCCGTAGAAGACGCAGAGCACCAGCGTGGAGGGCACCAGGCTGACCAGGATGACCCCCAGCGTCAGGTGCTGGATCATGAGCAGGTAGATGCCCAGCGGCAGCGAGCTGAAGTAGATGAGGCACAGGACCCCGATGAGGAAGCGCGGGAAGGTACGCGAGGTCCAGGCCCGGCACTTCTGCACGGGCAGGTGGCAGGGCAGCGAGTCCAGGCTGGGGGGCCGGTACAGCCGCACCAGGTTCAGCACGCTCATGGTCTCCGAGGAGGCCGTGTCCCCCGGCACCTCCATGATGGTGATGACCAGGCAGTCGGAGGAGCTGTGAGAGGGGTCCCCGGGGGTGCCCCCGCCGCCGCCCAGGCTGTTGGGCGTCAGCACCACCTCGCCCGGCGTGCCAGCCGCCCCACTCTTCCGGGCCCGGTCCTGGTAGGTGAGGATGGCCAGGATGTTGCTGTCGTCCTGCAGCAGCCAGATCTCCTCGTCGGGGACGTGGGTCTCGTGGCGGCAGAAGGGGCAGCTGATGATGCTGGGGGAGGAGTCCCCCACGTCCACCATCTTCTTCAGGCATTTGGCGCAGACGCGGTGCAGGCAGCTGAGCACCTTGGGCTTGCGCGCTCGCGCGTCGTAGCGGTTGTAGCAGATCTTGCACTCCAGCTCCTCCAGGGTGTAGACCAGCGGCTGGGAGCTCTCGCCCTCCGGGTCGGGGTTCCGGCTCATCCTGGGCCGCGGGTCTCGCCGGCGGGCCGGAGCCGCCGCGTACAGGGCCGAGAGAGGGAGGGACGGGGGGGGGGGCGGGGCTCCTCGCTGGCTGTCCCCGGACGCCCCCGCTGGGGGTGGAAGCGTCTCTTCCCGCTGGTTTCCCGGCGCGGCTCTTACTCACAGCCGCTGGCCGCGGGAGACGGGTTTCCCGCCGGGCATCTCCGACGGCCGGGCGCGCCTCTCGGACACGGCGGGCTCCGGTCAGCCGGCCAGCCCGACCTCTTCGGCCAACGGGGGCGGAGACGTCTCGCTTGAAGAAAGGGAAGGCCTGCTCTCTGTGTTCCCTCCCTAGGCTGCCGGGCTCGGGGCTCCGCAGAGGGAGAAGGACCTGCTCTCCTCCCTGCCGCAGGAGGTGTGCATGTCTACGACGCTGTTCGCTGCTGGTTCCCCCCTTTGCAGCCTCAGGCTGACCCTCTCGGCAGCAGGAAGCAGGAGACCTGTGAGGCCGGGGTCACCCCTGGCCGGAGAGCTGTGCTAGTTGCCCCCGAGTCTGCTGCCCTGCGAACCGGGTGACACTTTCTGCTGCAGGACGTCACCCAGCAGTGCCCAGCTCTCATTCTTGCTCTGCAGCAAGAGTCAACGGAGAACAGAGTCTCGCTCAGATCAGCGGCCCCACATCTAGGAACCTCGCTGGAGAAGTCTGGGTGAAGGGGATCGCCCCTCGTGGGCAGCAGCAGCCTGGCACCTGGGATTCGAACCCGCGACCCCTCCGGTTCAGCGTCCAGATTCCCTGGTCCGAACCTACCTGTGCATCACCTCTTCATTCACTCATCCGTAGGCACTGGTGCATGGAAAACCCGGCTCGCTGCAGGAGCGAAAGAAGGCAGAAGACAAACGGGGCCTCGCTGGGTCCGTCGCTCCCTGGAAGTGCTCGGCGGAGAAACGGGGCCCCGACCAGGCAGCGCTCGTCACAGCTCCAGCTCCTCCCGAAAGCACCCAGAGGTCATACGGGGGACAGAGCAGGCGGGCCGGAGAGTGGAGGGGGAGGCTGCAGGGTTACTGGCACCAGCCAGGTGCGCACGCGGCGGGTGTCGTCTCCATCAGCTTCACCCCCGGGCGTCCCGGGAAGCAGGCGACTCCCCTGAGAGTAACAGGACACAGAACAGAGGTGTGACTGTGTGGCCCTGCAGTCAGCACCAGCAGGACCAATCAGGACCATGTGTACAGCGTGCAGGACCAATCAGGACCATGTGTACAGCGTGCAGGACCAATCAGGACCATGTGTACAGCGTGCGTGGGCAGGCACGTGTTTTCATCTCCAGCCATGGATCCACTCATGTATTTTGCTTATTATTATTATTATCGCTCGTTAAACTTGTCGATTATACCTCTTTGAAGCTCGTTTAACACGCTTTCATCCCAGTAACTGGTATTTAACGAGCTAGGAATGCGTTGTAATACATCAAATTGACGAAAATGACACTTGATGTTTGATGTCAATGTTTGTCAGTGTAGAAATGTGCCCTGCGCTTGCAGACAGGTAGGATAAGTGAGGCCCCGAAGCACAGCACACAGGGGCCCCAGGCCTGTGTCCAGAAGGTCAGCCTGGCCCCTTTCCATGATTATCAGGCTTGCTGTGCCCCTCTCCCCCCTGCTGCTTCCAGGGGGAGGCTGGGCAGGTTGTCACAGAGCTGTGGGGGGGCGGTTGTCTCGCAACCGTGAGCATGGATAAGACAGCATGAAAATCGGCACATTATGCACCTCAGAAATAAGGCTTTGCAGTTCTTATTTGCAGTCCTAAACCACCAACCAAACTGCATCCTTTGCTCAGAAACAATTGGGTTCGGTTTCCAAACAAACACGCCAATCTTTTTTCTCTTGTTGCACAAACAGCACGCACTCCAGCACACACAGGTGCGCACGCTGCAGGGGTAAACAATAACGATTCTCGGTCCTGCCTTGCTCCAGTCGGTACGTGTGGAACGGAGCTGAAATGCAAAAAATGTGAGGTTTCTGTCCTGTTAAACATGAAGGATACGTATATTTATTTTTCCTCAAAAGATCACAGACTTTTTTCATTTTCTTTTTCCGACTCTCCTTATCTAGTCTGGTTATGCAACGGTATCTCTGACTGAAGTAGGGCTGTTAAAATATGAACCAGCGCTATAAATAGCAGGGGCTGCAGCTGGAGGGGGGGACAGGATCTTTTATATAACCATCCCCCAGCAGACAGTGTGCTTTCATCTGGAGCTGCGCTGGGGCCTTTGCCTCTCTGGAAGCACAGGGAGACAATTATAGAAATTGAACAATGTCCACAGAAAAACACCATTCGGAACGATGTCGTAACGCGCAGGCAGACAGCCCTCCATGGCCGGTGCTGTGATCGACGGCTGTCTCCTCCGAGCGCGCTCCGGAGTCTCCATCTGCACTCGGGTGCAGGGTTTTCGACTGGGGACACGCGGAGCTGCTGTTTCAGTGTCGGGTCACGAGCTTTCAAAACCCAGCATCTGCCTGGAAAGTGTCTTAACGCACATCCGAGCCCTGGGAGCCCATGTCGTTCATAGCAGTTCACTATGACAAGAGTTAGTGCTTTGTGCATTTTTAGACTATTGGGTGAGAGAGGTTTGGCTTAACCGGCTTGGTTAACAGGCCACAGGACGAGGAGACTCGAACCCCAGCCACAGTGAGTGGACCTAGGGGCAGCTGCAGGGTGTGTTTGATATACAGAGCAGATTTCCGTGTGATTAGTAGCAGCTGTGTGAGAGCGGACTTGTTGCTGTTATCCCTCCCGAACCTCAGTTAATGACTTCCACTGAGCGTGGTGTGTGAAACAGGTGGGCCCGACCCCACCCTGTGTTCTTCCTGAAATCAGTGGTGACAGCGCCACCCGGATCCCGCACAATCGGACCCTGGGCCGGCGCCCCGGCTCTCTCGTCCCCCACAGCTCCCCTGGGCCAGAGAGGAGGTACAGTATGCAGGCAGGGACTGAGGGACCGAATCTAACTGCAAGAAACAGGAAATCGTTTCAAAAGCTAACCCTTAAAACATTGACTGTTTACGGGTGAATACGTATGACATTTTCAAAGCCATTCTGAATCCTTTGCTGAGTCTAGCGGAGTCCAACACACACGCATTCCTATCTCTGTCGATTAATTACGGGATGGACGAAGACCAGTTATCGCTTTCGCAATGCTAGAAGCTGGACCCTCAAGAGGATTAGAGCTCTGTTTCGCGTTTCAACGGTCAAAGTAATACCACACAGAGACACCTGAGATCAAACAAACGTGAAAAAAACATATTTCACCTTTCAGAAACATGATTTATGTCACCTGTAAAACACTGCAACCTGAAATCTGACCTTATTCCGTTTCCTCTGAATTCACTGTGCACATTCCTTCCCCGATACAAACTTCATTCCATTTATAAATCCTGTTGGAAGACCAGAAGATCGAATGAAACACGCATTCCGCATCCTGTATAAGACTGTAAGACTATGCGGTGGGAGCCTGTACTATCTCCATGGGGAATACTCATTCCCAAACTTCTGACAGCTCTGGCTGAAGCACAGGCAAGTCCACGACCTCAGCGACCGTCAGACCACCTTCTCGCAGTCTTCGTGAAAATCAAACGTTTTGCAACTAACCATGTAACATTCTGGCATATAATCCAACGATGGAACACAAAGTTACACCCTGATCGTAACGCGGTTTTTAATAGCAAGCGAATACACTGCATCAAAATTACCTAGTTGAAGATTTTTGTGTTGGAGGGCGGAGGTCATTTAAACATTCCCCATCCACACAACGTGATCGGCCTCAGTTCTCGGTTGATTTTCTCGAGAATCTTCAACGCAATTTCATTACCCCTGCATCGCTTTGAAAAGATAACACAGAGTCTTTGGCTCAAGATAGGTGACGTTATCGTTGAAATTGTAGCCGTGTAGGCTTCACGAAAAAATGTTCCTACAAAACTAAATAACACGAATATCGCTACCCTGGACAGCGCAACGTAGTTCGCAATAGAATTGCGTTGCTCATGGTTGGCAAGCACGGATTTAATGAGGAATATAACTCTGTACTTCATAACATACATCTTTATTTTACAAACATAAAGACACATAAAAATAACAATAAAATTAAGAAATAAATAGCTGATACTCACTGCTTCTGATTATATATATTGTCCTGTTTCCCCTTTTCAGCGATTGATCATGTTGAGAACGTCGGCCGCACGTGTAAAGAAACACAATAAACTACAACTCCCATGTTTCCCGGGACGCCTGGAGGAAGTGACAATCTCTAGGAGGTGGGGCTAAAGTTCTTGAATACCAGTAAAAGAGAATCTACAGTCTTGTCGGACATCTACGCTTGTTTGTGGATTTACTCGTGGAATGGGGGCACAAACATTAGCTTCGTAGCTAATCCAAGTGTTTATGGCAAACAACAACGGAAAAAATAAACAAATGACTGATATATTTCACAACAGTGGCTTGTAATTGCTTCCACTCAAAAAATAAAACAACAACTCCATTGTTTGCCATCTTTATCGGAGAGTTCAAGCAATTTGAAAGCCAGGTGTTGCCCTCATAGTCATCTCCATTGACAGAGGCGTGAGACTGTGCACATCACGTATATGCTGACTGTAGCCATACGCAACGCATAAGGCTTGTTCAGCGATGGTGACTGTAAAGATGTAAAGAACTGAGTGTATTCTTTCAGTGGTGCCCAAGACTATGTCTTCTCTGTGTTCCTGTGTTGTTCTCTTCCTCTGCTTCTCTTTTCCAGCGTGTCCCCTCTCCCTGCCTGAGTCCTCTGGTTTCTGAGTGCAGGTCCAAAATGAATCACTCAGCGCAGATGGCTGTTTCCTCTCTGACTGCAGGTCTGACTGCAGGGCCTGGGAAAACCGCTCTGTCCCCTCCTGCGCTCCTTCACCTCTCCATCGTTTCATCTCTCTCATAATCCCGTGTTTCTCTCTCCCTCTCTCCCTCAGTCCCCTGACTCTCTCCTTCTGCCTCCCGTCTCCCTCCCCCTGTCCCCCTGTCCCCTGTCTCTCTCCCTCTGTCCTCTGTCTCTCTCTCCCTCTCCATCTGTCTCTCTCTCCCTCTGTCCTCTGTCTCTCTCTCTCCCTCTGTCCCGTCTCTCTCCTTTCCCTGCTCAATCATCTGAACAATGCAGCTGCTGCAGCAGAGCCCCCTGGGGCTGGCGTAGGGCTTCCAGATGCCGCTAATGTCTGTATCTCAGCTGTTTACAAGCACAGCTGACACTGTCCCCACTGACCCTGAGAGAGGGCACATTGCCAGCCTGTGCTGTGGGTCTCTAACCCTTCTCCCACTGTGTCCCAGCACACCACGGATCTCTGTACTAAGCGCTTTCATTCTAGGACTTGAAATCTTTCAAGAGTCCTGAAGTTGCTTTTACAAGAGGCGTGCAGATTGATTTGACGTGATAAAAAAGAGATGAGAAAAAAAAAACATTGAACCTCGACTCCCCCAATGCTCTAAAGTGAATCCTGGGATATTCAGTAAAGTGCCGTGCATTTGGCTCACTGCGTTATTTCTGTTTTAATGGACGCAGTTCATCTCCTTTGCTATGGGTTGCAGTTTCAAATCCCTTTCAAACACTCAGAGGGGGACTGGCCTCGAGAGCAGCTAAGTGCACCTCCGGCCGCCAGCGCACTGGCACAGGCCTCTGTGGTGGGGCAGCGGGGCAGCAGGGACTGAGGCAGTACCATCTGTCGCCTGGCCACCTGCTCCCGCGGGCGCCGCGGGCACCGCCGTGGGCCAGGCTCCGTGCCCGCGGGCAGGCCGCAGCGAAGGCAGACTCTCGGGGATGAAACACACGCACGGCACTCGCAGGCCTGCTCGGTTCGGGCCCGGGAGTCTGGTACCGGGTCAGGCCAGGGCGGGGAGCCTCAGTCTCGCCCCCTGCCAGAGGCCCGGGGCCCGGCCTCGTGCTGATCAGTGGGGACCGGTTTTAATTTCCTGAAATGCTCCGGAATTTCCAGCAGCACCATGCTGTAAACTAGAGCACCTGAAGCCCCCTGCCTGCTGTGTGGGTTCGAGCCGCCTGTGTCTCGCCCGGCCAGGAGATCCGGGACATTTCCTACATCACTGAGGGGCTCCTGGAAGAGCTGGGACAGAAGGAGGAAAGTTGCCACCAGGCCTGATGCCACTATCTTTTCTGCTCGGAAAATCACAGTGTAAAAATAATGTAAATGATAGTCATAATATAACAATTATAATATGAACAAGAGCGTTATTAAGATGAGCAACATGCACAGAGCGACTCTGAATATTTACCGGATGTTGTTATGATTATGATTATGATTATGATTATTATTATGGCAGCGCTCTGTTGAATGTGTGCGCAACGAGTGGCCTAGATTCTCCGGAAGCGGATTAGCCGCGTCGGAATCGGTGCGGTGTGGGATAATCCAGACTAGCGAGAGAGTCTGCAATATACGGGGCCGGGCACCCCGGACAAACACGCCACGGCTCCCGGTCCTTCTGGCGATCGCTGTTCTCACCGGCGGTATCGTTAGCACTGTCGCTGCCACTCGGTACGCGAACGACGCGCCGTGTCTCCGCGTCTTAATGTATTTTTGACTCATCCGCCCGCTGTCGCCCTGGCCCCTCTCCTGATCAGAATGTTGCCCACGTCAAAGTGAACGCCGTCTGCGCGGTCAAGTCTCTTCATAATCGCGTCGCCGGAGAGGGGATGGCGGTATCTGGCCACAGAAACTCTCTCGGATAAGCCCACTCTCTCCATTTGTTGCTCTAGTTCAAGTTTGACCAGACGGTGAAGTGCAGTTATGCGTCCGACATGATCACGAAGACGACGAATGCCGGAGTGATTGTGTGTTTATATACATATATATATCATATAGCATATATAGCATCTGTTGAACAGAAAATACCGTACTGACACAGCAATAACATTTAGTTCGATACAGAAATCGTGAAAACATTTTTTTTTATTATTATCGAGACGGTGCTTAAAAACTGGTTGGCACCCACAATTAAAGACGACTTTAAATGACGAAGTGGTACAACGCATGAATCATACGTGCAATGAAGCCGCTCTCCATACTCACCCGACCCGTCTTTGGCGGCGAGGAAACGAGTCCCGCTCTCCGAAAGTCCTGGACCGAGACCGCGGCGCTGGACGCGCTGAGCTCCGGCTCCCCCGTTACCGGCAGCCCCCGCCCGCTCCCGCTCCGTCTTCCTCTCGCTCACACTCGGTCTAATGAGTCACTGCCGCCCCTCACAGCCCCTCTGTCCAGCCGGACTGCCGCATCCCCCTCTGTCAATGCAGCAGCAGCATCAGGACCTGCAGAGATTTCTCCTTCGCGGTTGCTGTGGCAACACCGAGTGCCAGCATGCGCTGATAGACCGTATCTGTGGGGTTTACACTGTATACGTTTCTGCTTCTCTCTGCCTCTCTCTCCCCCCCACCCCCCTCCTTTAATTTATCGTCTGCTATCCTGATGATTTAGTGGTTGTTTTGCACCGTATTTGAAGGGAACATGTCACCGGAGGAGACAACAGCACGCCAGCACGTACCCCTGTTGAACGCCGCTGTCAAAAGCGAGTGATCTTCATTTCAAGGGCTTGGTGTTGTTTTACGAAAAGTAATACACGTGAATATTGTTAAACGAATATGAATATGAGCTCACAATATTAAAACGCCGTGCTATCCTTTAACTGTTTGATTATTTTTTTTTAGGTGGAGTTTTTTTACAGGAGGCTATAACAAGCGATTCTTCTTTATTCCACACGATTGGCGGCCCGGTAGGGGGCGCTCTTCTCTCCGGGGGCAGACGTTCCGGTCCATGGGCCCGGTGGCAGTTTCTCGCCCGTGCTGTGGGCCTGCGCCGTGCGTCCCGCACACAGGCGCGCCTCCAGAACCAAGCGCGTTAGCTCAGCGTGTCCGGAGTGGAGCCACCGCGGATATTGTGGTGTGGTACACTCTGGGGTTGGCCTTTCCGGCAGCTTGCTCTGAAGCCACTGTACCTCATCCTGTATGGATTCACGCAGTTTGCCACGGGGGTCTACATAGTCCCTCACGTCCCCAGTGGGTGATGCATTTTAGGGGTGGGGGAACTGACCCTCCTATATACGAGTAGCGCTCCGGGATTAAAGGCGCTGTACAAATGCAGCAGATCAACCACTGCACGGGGTTTACAAGAGCACTGACTGACTGGCAACACTGCGTGATGCGTGTTACTTTAATCCGCTCGAGCAAAGACACGGAACTTCTCCTAAAACCCTAACCTATTTTCGGCAGAAATAGGCCACGATTCGTCATGCTGAGGAACGGTGCGAAAAGAAACCCCCCCCCCCAGCTGTGCGACCCGGGAACAAGCGCGTGTTCTCTTTGTTCCTCGGGAGGCCGAGAAATTGTACCTGGGCCAATAAAGTGATTTTATCCCGAGGGAGGGGGGCCACCTCTGATTGACACGTCCTGCGTTCGCACCGCTTCACCAGCGACGTTCTACGTGCTTTTCAAAAAGTGAAACATTGAATTTCCAACAGGAAGAGAAGCCCTGTTGCTGCAGACCAACTAACCGAAGCTCCATCCTAAAGAATTAATGAAACCGCGTAACTCCCGTCTTGGCCTCACAGACACAGACAGACCGGGGCGTCTCTCTTCCGGAAGGCACAATGCGCTTGTGCCTTCTAATACTGTTTGCAGTTACAGTGGAAGTGATTACATTTAACTCGCTTTTGAGCTTCTTTTTTGCTTTGCAGAGCGGTGCCTCGGGTTTGTGGGTAGTTCAACAGGGGTACGTTTATTTATACAAATAAATCCGTTCCATTGAATTAGAAACTGATGTCCCCCCATCTTCTTTCACGCGCAGAAATATGCCTGTATCCTCCGCTCAGAGCATTGCTGAAGTGTTTGGAAAAAGGGCTGCCGACGGGGAATTTGGCGAAACGCGGGACGCGCGCTCTGGGGAAATCACCCACCCGTGTCGCGCAGTCGTCTCCATAAGCCCACTGAGTATAACCCGGCGGTGAGGTTAGAGTTCTGCGCTGCAGCGCGCCTCGGGTAGAGAGCAAAGAGAGGCCGGCGGTGTCCTATTTCTGGAAGCCGCCAGGGCTCCAGCACGCAGGTGTAAGTGGGGCACTGTGCCGCGCCGCTCGCCCGCCCCCGCCCGGCCCCGACACCTCGCCCCGAGCGGATACCAGCGCCATCTGTTACCGCCACCCCAGCCAGCGCTGCAGCATCCGCCCGCGCTGCGAGGGGCTGGCGGCGTCTCCGCTGGCTGGCAGATTCGTGTCGCGCAGAGAGCAGCGAGGTTAGATAGAGAACAGGGACCGGGCCTTTGGTCCGCGCACAGGAAACAAAAACAAAGCAGCGGACAGAGTGAGACGCTGGCCCTCTGGGCGGTGGGGGTGTGTACATACTGGCTCTGCAGTCAGGGTCCAGGCCCGGTTCACGCGGCGGCTCGGAATGATTTTAATATACAGTAGCAGCCTCGAGCCCCGGGTTTCCAGCCTCAGCCTTTACGCAGAGCAGCGTTCATTTCATCACGGACAGGAGGTCCCAGGTCCCAGTCCCAGCGTCCAACAACCAGCTGGGTGGACCCGGCCAAGTGGGAGCTTATGCGTCCCTCTGCTTCCCTGCCGTTTCTCTTCATGCTTGGGACCTGTGTCGGATGTCCCCGCTTTCGACAAACTACAGTCGTGTTGGAAACTGACCGTTTCCTTTTCGCTGAGAAGATGCTTTTGTCGCACTGTGCTGATAGTTTGCACTCGCTGCAGATCGCTGCGCGCAACCAGTGTTTCACAGAGGTGCCGATGCGCACTCCAGAGGAACAGGCGCAGGTCCACACGCTGGACGGCCGGGAAATGAGTGTTAATTTCGATTTTGGTAAAACGTTCATCCTTTTCTCTTCTGGGCATTACATACAATCCTGCGTGCATTTCAGACGTGTAAACATCACGTCTGGATAAGATCTTCGGTTCAATAACACACTAAAAACCAAACAATCTACATGACCCGCCTCTTGTCCGCGAACTTTTATGTTTTTGGTGTTCTGGTTGTACTTTAACTGTCATTTCTTCTGTAAACAATAAAAACGAGTTTGTTAGAAGTCAGAAAACAAGCCAGTATCAAAAGAACCGACTCCCACCAGTCAAGAAAGGTAGGAACTGCGCCTGTAGATAATATCGTATGTCGTACCCATTTAAATAACCATATCATATAAAAAATGAAGTTTTAACAGTACATAGTAATCCCTTTGCTAATTAAAATACAGTAATAACACCATTTGCTCCTGTGCTGCGCAGACGGGCACTCCGCTGTAGTGTGCGCGCTTGGCGCCTCCCTGCTGTCTTGTCCGCTAGCGCCACCTGCCGTTCACACGGCAGAGGTGTTCGGCCATTGTCTCTAGGGGCTCTGCCTCCCCCTGGCGGTCATGTCTTCTTACTACAGGCGCGGTGTCGGAGTAGCGTTTAGTAAGGAGGGATTGAGCTGGAGAAAAGCTACAGAATAAAAACCGCTCCAGAATACAGCAGGTGCAGAAATACCATTGTGTGGCTGTAGCGATTTAAATTAAGCTCCTGTATTATACCTGTATGATACATGACGTGTGTTGCATATGTGTGTTTATATCACAGTGTTTTTGAAAGTAAATAACGGAACGAGTAGCATGCTCATTTAATGACTCACTAAATTCACATATTCAGTTTTATTGGTATGAAACCGGTAAAATACAGTGTTGCCAAAACACATGGAATTTGACCAGGTCTATAGCGTGTACTATCTGACAAGGTAAGGCGAGTCACTTACTAAAGACCTCACTGAACAACGCAGAAAGCTATTGCTGGGTTAATTGTATCTGCTTTGTGCGACACTGTAACTCAGCAGTCAGGCCTATTTGTTTTTAAAAGATTTTTTTTATTAAATGTATAAAGAATTTACAAATACAAATACAATCCGAGGATCAAATTAGGTACAAGATAACAAACACAAACGGAAAAATAAGCAGTTAACCGCCAGAGGTAAGAAGTCAGGCCAATACTGTTGGAATGTGAAAGCAACACAGCGCCATCGACGTGCGCCGCTGACAAGCGTGGCCCCCTCCCGTCCTCCGAACTACAGGTCCCGGCAGGCACCGCGGCGCGTGACGTCATCCCGATCAGCTGTGAGCCTGGACCGCGGCCCCCCGCTCACGGGCTTCTGGGCAAAAATGACGCGCTGGTCGGCTGGCGCATATCAACACCGAGCTCTCTGAAAGGGAAGACCTGCCGTGCCCGAGCTTGGGTTCGACATCCCTGCTTCAGAGAAGCCTTCTGGGTGGCGTTGGAGCCTTTTGGAGTGCGGCGAGGTGACGTAAGGCCGGACCGAGAGCTGGGGGCCGGCGGCGATGTGGCCTGGTTTGTTTTGCGTTGGGGGGGTGCGAGGAGCTGGCTAGGATGTGCGCCCCTGCCTGAGCCTGTCCCTGGCTTATTCCTGCCCTGTTCTGCGTTGCTGTCGCCGATAACAGTATTTCCTAGCGCCAGCCCAAGAAACACAGCCGTGGGTGAGACGAGAGCGCACACTGGCCGGCCTACAATGAGCCGAAGATGTATCTGAAAAAGTCCGAGAGTCTGGGTGTCTCCTCGCCTTTGAATGGAATCGGCAAAAAAGGTAAGACTGAATTTTTTTTGTGTGTGTGTGTGTAATTGTACGTTTTAAATTCCTGGCTGCGTTGCTGTCCCCCATCGCCTTGCGCGGAGAATGCCCGTCTGGTCTGCAAGCAAGCAGCTCGGCGCCTCTTCCTTGGCGGAGTGGAGATGCGCAGGCGAGCGCAGCGCAGGCTTGCAGTGGGGGGGTCTGGGGTGTCCCTGCTGCTGTCTGGGGAGCTGCAGGAGCCGGGAGCGAGGGACGAGCGCGTCTGGGCTGCCCGAGAAGTCCCCGGCCCAATCCACTCATTTGTAAAACCGAGTTTTCGGTTTCATCTGTCGAGGACAGCCGGGTAACGGCGGGGGGGGGACTGATCTTCGTGGGGTCAGCCTCAGGATGATCACGGACTGATTAACCGTGCGCGCCGCGGTGGGAACAGGAGCTCTCTCTGGACAAGCCCCCTGGTTTACAGGCTGACAGTCTTATAGTTTATGTAGGGGGGTTCCCAGCGAGATGCGAGCTGGTAGACCTGGGTGGACCAGACCAGCGCTGTAACCTCTGGATTTAGGGAGTCGCTGGAAAATTCGAGATCCACGTTGGCGATGCCGTGACTTTCGCACAGACGTTGTTTTATCAGTTCACATTAATCCGAGGCAAAAGTTATGGGACAGAGTGCCCCGCCCCCCCCTTATGTTTCAAAATGATGCACAGAACGTGCAGACGCGCCCCCCCCCCTCAGTTCTCCCCCAGTGATGTGTCGGCAGTGACCTGCTGACTTCTCAGTATGACTGAAATGGGATAAAGGTCATGATTCCTGCCGGGAGCTGCAGCACTCCGAACTGGCCAGGCTGACCTGGTGACACGGTACTGGGCAGGGCTCTCGTCAGGACCAGCGAGAGGCGCCGTTCAGCCCCTCCCGCCCCTCGGTGTCAGGGTTTCATCCACCCCTTTCCTGAAAGAAGCAAGGGTATTGGCTTCGACAGCATGGCTTTGGAGCTCGTTCCACACCTCGACCGCCCTTGGTGTAAAGGCATTTCTACAGAAGAGCTTTCGGGCAAGAAAGGTCTGTCTGCTTGCCCGCTCAGAAACCGTAAGAGTGGAACAGCAGGGCGTGGGGCTTGTGTCTGAGTGGGGGATGTGTGAGCCTCCTCTGCCAAAGCCGAGATTGTTTCACTTGCAGGTGCGACTCTGCCGCTGAGCGTCCAGAGTGAGGAGCAGCTCTGCTCAGAGGCCCGAGTCTCATGTGCGGTCATGTGTTGTGAGACGTGTGTCTTCATTGTAGCCTTGATTTGATCTTTCAGCACCACATATGGGGTCACATTAGGCTGTTAGCGATATATAAAAAAAAAAAAAAAGAAACAGTTTCTTGGAAAAGCAGTTCAGTTTATCTGTGTTTGTCGGCCAGTGTCATTATTTTTTTAGCATGGCAGCGTTGTTTGCCAGGCGGAATGAGATGCAACACGAGCCTTGAACAGAAAGATCTGCTGTTTTCCGTACAGTAGGACAGACAGTGGTGGCCGACACTGGTCCCCGAGAATCCCACTCCTGCAGGTTTCGTACGACCACTTTAAATCTGTTTCTACCCGGGTAGAGCAATTCTGTTTTGTTCACTAGAGAAGGTGATTTGTTTAGTCAGGTACCTTAGAGGTTGTTTAAAATGCAGATCCCAACACGCCACAGTTTCGTGAGGGCCACAGTTGTCCAGTTCTGACTACGCTGGACCGATTAACATGCTCGATGTTAATTGATAAAACTTGGATCTGTTCCAGTGTTTTAGAAGATGTTGGCCTTTCAGGCCTGCCTTTTTCCTTCGTACTCTGGAACAGTGGTTCCCCGCCCTGGTCCCGGAGAAGCAGCGTGTCTCCCATCTCATTCTTAATCACAGGCTCACTGCGGCGTATTTTCAAAGTTGCTTTCAGATCTTTAAAGGTCACACGGGACTTGTTCCTGGTTTCAGTACCGGAGCTGCAGAAGTGCCCTCGTGCAGGTGTACTGCCTGAAATGTAACTGGACCACTGCAGAAGAACATCCCCCACACAATCCGTTGCAGGTGGGCCTGACGTGGTGTCGGTGCCCCCTTGTCGGCAGGCCTGATATGGCGCTGGTGACTCCCACCTCTGTTGCTGATCAGTTGATCTAACAGTAAGTCAGGTGTGACGGCCAGCAGGCTGAGGGGAGGCTGAGTAAAGCTCTTGTGTGCTGAAGGTGTTGGAAACGGAACCCTTGAAGTAGGGTGTTTCCGACACTCAGCACCGAGTGAAGAAACCGGTTACACGAGACCTTGAGCACGCAGCCTCAGCAGCTGAGCTGCTCGCGCCCTGAGCTTGCGGCCGTGTGTTTCAGACTGCGACCCGAAGAGGAAGAGGAAGGTGGCGGAGATAACCCAGGCTCTGAGCGTGACCCCGGTGGACGTGGCCACGCTGCGGCGCATGGCCATCAGCGAAGGAGGCCTGCTCACGGACGAGATCCGCTGCCTAGTCTGGCCCAAGCTGCTGAACGTCCAGACCGATGACCTTCCTGAAAAACCAGGCAATGTGAACCCCGAACCCCTGACCCCTGACCCCTGACCCCAAGCCCAGCCTCCACTTTGACCCTGACCCTGCTGTGACCCAGCCACAACTCTAGCCTCCACCTTGACTATAACCCTAAACTAAATGCTATCCCTACTTTTAGGTGGAAACATAAGTTTCCTTTTTTGTATCAAATACATGTTACTCGCACGTCCATTCTGTGCTCTGTGTAAAGATTTTTTCCCCCTGTGCTCAGCAGGGGCGGAGCTTCGAGAGAACAACAAAGATTACCAGCAGGTGCTGCTGGACGTGCGCCGCTCTCTCAGGAGGTTCCCGCCAGGTGAGTGTGTCACCTGTGTCTCAGAATGCAAACTCCTGTGTTTGTCCAGGAGCAAGAACTGCGTAATGTCTCCCCTTTTAGTTTAATCCACATAATCGACTGTGTTTATGGATTGTTTAGCTTTCGTGTGGTTACGATGTCTTTTGCACGCTGTCAGGCATGATGTCCTCTTTCTGCCACGGCTGCTCAGTTTTCTGGAAACTTGCAATTGATGTGCCGTGTCCTCAGTAATTTTTGTAAATGGTTCTGTAACAGCGTGGAATTATGCGATTTGCTTTTTTCTTCTTTATAGACTTTTGGTTACGCATCTGGGTTGAAGAAGAAAAGATAATTGGTCTCTGTGAGACATGCTATTTT